ATGGTGAACAGTACAAGGGCAGTCGTCACAGAAACTTTCGGTTCTGATCACACATTATGAACTAAGGAGTGTGCCATTTTTAACGTTGGAAATAATATTATGGGTCTGGAATAAAAATGGAATAGAGATAAAGAGGCAAAGCATGTGATGTTATATGGAGAAAGGTTATGCCTATTACAACACCTGCTATGAAATTCATCAAGTTGAATATCCCATGGGTTCCATTTCCAGGAATGTATTCAAGAGAAATGTGTAGCTATCCCAGGAGATATGGGCAATGTTTTCAGCAGGGCCAACAGGAAAAAACAGGAAATGCCCATGGAGCAGTGACAGATGAGTTTATTCTGTACACACACATGCAGAAACAGTAAAATCTTATCACTAGTAAAACAAGTTGGGAGACGCTGAGTTCTGAATGATCATCTCTTGGCTTAATGCGCAGAGTTTATTTAGGGAAACAAAGGTAACAGGATGTTTCTGACAGTGTTTCTAAAATACTTCTCTAAATACTTAAACTCATATCCCTCAATCTCTTAACACAATCTCTGCAGTAAAAGAGGCATGGTTATCAAGAAAGCAGACCAGTAAACGCCAGGTCTCCTTACTCCATGGAGACTCCAAATTAACAACAATATACAGAAAAAATATTCTTTGGGCGTATACTTAGAAACCAGTTAAAAAGCTGCAGCACTCAAATGCCTATCTGCAAAACAATGAACCAAAAAAAGGAATCAAAGTTCAAAATTAACAGGAAATAGAGTATTGGTACCTTGAAAAGACTGATAAAATTGGGAAACCCATAGCAAGACTATATGAAAATGCAAACAGAAGACTCAAATAACTAAAATCAGAGAGGACAGTGGTGCTTTACAACTGAATTATACTCAACTGATTATAATCTTATAATGAAACGGATTGTAAAAGAATACTATGAATAAATAATTCTATACCTAAAAAATGGAGAACCTAGAAGAAATGGATAACTTCCTGGAAAAATAGAACCTCTTTGGACTGAATCATGAAAATGTAAAAAGTCTAAACAGACCTATAACTTGTAAGGATATTGAATCACTAATAAAGAAACATTCAAGAAAGAACACCCAGACAGTTTCACGGCAGAATTCTGGCCAACACTGACCACCAATCTTCCCCCAGCTCACACAAGAACAGTAAAGACGAGGGAACATGTGCAAACTCACTCTACGAGGCCAGAAGTTCTCTACTACCAAAGTCAGACAAAAGCACTGCAAGAAAATTACACATCATATATCTAATGAATAATGATGCAAAAATCAACAACAGAGCAACTGTAAAGCCTATTCAATTGCACATAAAAAGGATTATATACCATGAACAGAAGGCATATATTCCTGACAGGCAAAGATGGTTCAGCATATGAAAATCATCCCACATAATACTCCATATGAATAGAATGAGCAAGAAAACCCACATGATCACTTCAATTCATGAAAAAGTCAACAGCTATTTATTCACAATAAAAACACTCAATCAACTAAGAACAGAAAAAAAATACCTCAACATGATAAAAGAAAATAAAGAGTTCACAGCTAACATCATACTAAACAATGACAGACTGAAAACTTTTCTCTAAGATCATGAACAAGACAAGGATGCCTGCTCTATTTCTAGAAAACACAGTACTAGAAGTCTTAGTCAGAATAATCAAGAAAAATAAACAAAAGGTATCCAAGTAGAAAGATGAGAAGCAAATTAAGTCTGTTCACAGCTGACATGACAGTACATAGAAAACCCTGAAGCTATGACAAAAAACCAAACTCCCAAATCTGCATATAACTTTCACATAATTGTTGGCCTAGGAAGGGAAGAGTTGTACACTATGAACGAGAAACGACTGTAAGCAAATAGAGAAGACACAAATAAAGATATTTGAAGGACAGAAGACTTAATATAGCGAAGATATTATATTACCTAAAGCAAATGACAGACTCAGTGCAATTACTACAAAATCCCTATAGCATCTTTTGAAGAAATACACACATCCATCTAGATTCATATGGAATTTCAAGCAACACTGTACAGAAAAAACAAGCTTGAAAAGAACAAAGTTCGAGGCCTCATACTTCCTTCTTTCCAAACTTATTAAAAAGCTAAAGTAATCAAAACAATCTGCTACTAGCATAAAGACCAGAGATAGAGACCAGTGGTCCAGAAGAGACTCATCAGAAATAAACACTTGTATGTGGTGAAATGACGTCCCACAAGGATGTGAAGGCCACTGAATGGGGGAAAAACAGTCTAGCCTAAAAAGCAAGTTGAGACAGTGTATCCACAGGCACAAGAAGTCAGACTGCTGCCTCACACTATATACAGACATCAACTCCAATGGGTCAAGTACCTACATGTAAGACACACAAACATAAATTTTCTGGAAGAAAATGGGAAAACTTCATGATATTAGACTCAAAAATGATTTGTCAGATACAACACCCGAAGCACAGCCAAAAGAAGTTCAACCAAAATTAAACTACAACAAAATGAGAAATTATTCAACATCAGAGGGCACAATCAATTCAGTGAACAGCAAATCTGTGGGATGAGAGAAACATTTGTAAATCCTCTATAGGTTACTGTTGAGAATACATAAAGAGCTCTAAACGCTCTCTTCACCATGGGTAATGCTCTGACACCACCTGGGTATCCCACAATTCAACTACATTCTGACCATTAAACTGAATTCTGACTCTACCTGCAGACAGTGTCAGATGCTGCAGGTGAAGGGCTTAGTTGTGAAAGACTGACTCTGCCCGAGGCCTCCTCCAAATGCCAGTCACACCTGAGTTGTCACTCCTGGATTTCTGACCAAATACCTATTCATTAGACATTCCAATGAACCTCCCTCCTTAGGTTCAGTGAATTTTTAGAATTCAGAGAAATATTTCAATTACTATGTTACCAGTTGCTTAGGAAACGATGTATCTCAAGAATGGCCACACCTAAGAGATGCAAGTCCTGAGAGGGGCAAAGAGGGTGGGGCATCTGTGACCTTTCCCAGCACCCAGCTCTCCCCAAACCATCACGTTTTCATCAATCCACAATCTCTCCAAACGCCTGTCTTTTGGGGAATGTATGCATATCTGATAAAATAATTGATCATTCTTCATTAGATTCAATGTCCAGCCTCTCTCTCCTTCTAGGAAGTCAGGGGTGAGACCAGAAGTTCCTTCTGATTGTAGGTTGGCTCGCCGGGCAACCAGCCCCCCATCCTCAGGCTGTTTCCAAAAACTCAGCTCATTAACGAGCAGGCGTGTTTGAGAGGGTCTTGTTATAAGTGATTAGAGAGCCATTTCAGCTTTATGACCTGAAACAATTTTCGCAACTGAGGACAAGAGACCAAATATGTTAAGCATAGATATTTCCACTACTCTTACCATCTGCAAAGTTCCAAGGGATTGAGGAGTTTTGTGCCAGAAATAGCAATGGAGACCGAATATATATTTCTTATTATAAATCACAATACCAAAGACTCCTACATCGCAATCAAAACCAAACCCCCAAACATCCCAATCAAAACACACACAAAGGACCCAACAGGCATTTCTCTAGAGCTGACATGCAGATGGCCAATAAACATAGGAAAAGATGTCCAAAATCTCTAGCCACTAGAGAAACGCAAATCTAACCCACAATGAAGCATCACTTCACACCCATTAGAATGGCTACACTAAAATCAAAACAAAAAGCAGAAAAAGATGTTGACAGGAAGGTCAAAAATGGGAATTCTTATTTACTACTGGTAGAAAAGTAAAAGGCAGCAGCTGCAATGGGAAACAGTGGGGCAGTTCCTTAAAAACTAAAAATGGAATTGGAATACGCCCTGAACTAAGTATATTTGTACCCCACTAAAATACACTCGTTGAAATCTAACCATGTACTTGGAGGTGGGCCACTTGGGAGGCCATGAGGCGTAAGGATGGGGTCCTCATGGGTGGGAGTAGTACCACTACAGGAAGAGGACAGAGAAATACTCTCTCTTTCTGCCAAGAGAAGACACGAGTCCTCAGCAGCTGCACCCAGGAAGGGGGATCCCCAGCTGACCCAGTGGCCCCGGTCTGGACTTCCCATCTCCAGAACGCTGAGAAAGAAATGATGTAATGAACACCATTAGCCACCCAGTTTTCACTATTTTGTTACAATGGGCTGATGACTAAGGCGGGAATTGGTACTGAGAAGAGGGGTGCTGCTGTGACAAACACTGAAAATATGGACACTGCTTTGAACGGGGTCATGGGTAAAGGCTGGAAGTTCTGAGGTGCATGCTCTAAGCTGATACTGCCGTGAGGGAAAAGTTAAATGTAAATCTGGTGATGGCTCAGAGAGGAAAGACGGGTGTAGAGAAAGCTCCCCTCTTCTTAGAGAATACTTACCTATTCCTGTATCAAACGGTGGCGCTAATACGGTAAAGTCCATTCTGACGAGGTCTCAGAAGGAAATGAGAAGAACTTTATTGTACAACGTGGAAAGGGCAAGCCTGGCTGGATGGTGGAAAAGATTTGGCTGACTCGTGCTAATGTTCTAGAGTTCTACAGAAAACAGTTTTTACAACCAATGAAACAGCGTATTTAGCTGAGGAGCTTTTTAAGCCAAGGGTTTCAGTAGCAGCGTGGTTTCTCCTGGCTCCTTATGGTTAACTGTGATGAGAGAAATAACCTGAAGATCGAGTTATTACGTAAAAAGCAAGTAGAACATCAAGATCTGGAAATCCTCAGCCTGACCACATTGCAGAGACATGAGGAAGCGCGTGCGGGAGATCACTGAGGTGTGGGCGAGCTACGGTTCCGTGAGTACCAAGTGAGCTGCAGACTTAGGTACGGTGCCCACAGGAAAACTGCCAGTTGAACTGAAAGGAAAGGAGACACGAAGGAAAGAACAGTCGGATTTTACAAGACAGGACCATGGAGCTACGTGGCTGCAAACTCGCTGTTCTTCAACACAAAGAAAGAGTGACCCCAAAGGCAATTCAGAGGCCATCAGGGCTGCCTCGTCCATTTCAAAGTGCAGGGCACAGCCAGAGAACCTGCCCCAAACCTGTGGGCTCACAGCCCCAGCCCAGGAGAACTCAGGGTGGGGCAAAACCCCAGACGTACTGGGTCCGGGAGCAAGTCTGCTGTCGGGCAGGCCTGGAGGGCAGAGCACGAAGACACAGACGATTGTTCTCTAGCCTTAAGAGCTCATGGAGTTTGCCGTGCCAGGTTCTGGACATGTCTGGGGTCCATCAACACTTCCTTCTTCCCTACTTCTCCCCTGTCCAACAGGAACACCTATCCTATGCCTCTGTCACACCTGGACTTTGGAAAGCAGGTAGTTTGTTCCAGTTTACAAGCTCACAGTGGACGGACTGTGCCTCGGGAAGAATCCTCCGTCGGGTCGCACGTCTACCTGATGCAGATGGTGATTACATCCAACTTTGGAATTAGCCTGTGGAGCCGATGCCAGAATGAGCTGCTCTGCAGGGATACCGGATGGAATGCACGTACTGGGCATCTGAAAAGTACATGACATCTCGGAGGCCTGGGGCACGAAACTATGGACTGAAGGTTGGTGTCCCTTTAAAATTTGTATATTTAAACCTTCAAAAATACACTGGCGGGACTCGGGATGTAATCAGGTTGGGGGGACAGAGTCCTCATGGGCAGGGTCAGCCCCTCATGAGGGGGAACAGGGAGCTAGCCAGGCCCCGTCTGCCATGAGAGGACACGAGCCAAGGGGTGGGTATCTGCATCCGAGCACATGTCCTACTAGAACCTGAAGTCCGGCACCCTGATCTCAGCTGCCCAGCACCCAGACGGTGAGGAATAAATTTCTATGGTTAATAAGCCATCCAGCCTGTTACTGAGTCATAGGAGCCTGGAGGGACCAAGGCACTGTGGGACCCAGCAGCTCTGCCTCTCGGCACACAGACACGGAAACGGAAGCAGGACTGCAGAGCTCTCTGGGCCCCCAAATTCACAGCACTACGTTCACATTAGTCACGAGGTAAAAGCAGCCACCCGTCCACTCATGGGTGGACACACAGACAAAGTGTAAAGTATGTATGGATATACGTGTGTGGCTGTGTGCGTGTGTGTGTGTATGTATACAAAGGACGAAATACTATTCAGGCTTCAAAAAAGATACAAATCCTGTCTTTTGCTACAAGGATAAACCTTGACAATGTTATTCTCAGTAAAATAAGCCAGTCACAAAAAAAAATATGAATCCACTTACGAGAGGTATTTAGAACAGTCAAATTCATAGAAATAGAAATGGAAGTATAGTGATTGCCAGGGGCTGGGGAGAACAGAGTACGGGAAGTAAGCAAATGCACTTTAATACTCGTGGTAATCAGTGGAATCTGTATTGAAAAGAAGAAAACAATGGCATATTTTAACTGCTTAGCTCCAACAATGTAAGTGGTGATAAAAGTCATTTGACATGAGTGAAAAAAGAGACATGACGCCAGGGGTGCTCGGACTCTGTGCATTAGTAGATGCAGTCACCACTGTAAATCTGAGACACCTAATGTGCACTCATCCCCATATTATTCAATTGGCGTTTATAAACATCATCAGGAGAAAAGCCAGCTGCAGAGAGAGTACGTGAATGGCCCACACGGGGAAGGGTGCTCACTGAGGGTGCTCCTCGGGGCAGCACCCATGCAGGAGCAGGTTGGGGCTGCGGCCTGGAGACCCACACAGCAGGCTCATGTGCACACACGAGGTGAGCCACACGCACAGCAAGTAAGGGCCAGAGGACAACAGGGCAGCACCAGGAGCTGCGGCACCAGGGGCCTGGGGCCCCTGAAACGACCTTCAGAGGGAAAGACGGCGACCTAACAGCTTCACGAGCACCCAGGAGAAGCACAGGAGAAGTTCAGAAATTTCACAGAAAACATAGGTGCTATAAACAGAAGTGGAGAACTTGATAAAGTGCAAGCAAGGGGCTAAGGTTCCTGTAAATACAATGAGATACTGAAGTACTAAGTCAATATACCAGCATGGATGTGGTAATTCCAGGCAGGGAGAGTAACTTTTAGAATATCCAACTTGTATCTATACATAAAAACTGAAAAAAACCTACAAATCATGTATAAAGAACTGAAAACAAACCAGAGAAAAGCCATGAATCTTATGCGAGCAGTGGCTGACACCGAACGGGTGACAGAAGCCCTCAGAGAGCACGTCCCTCCCCTCGCAAGCTCCCACCGTCAGGTGCCCCACAGCCGTGCTTCCTGCGTGGAGGGCACAGCGGTGCACATGGGACGGAACTGTCACAGGGACAACGGCCCGGTCAGCAGTGGGAGGAGGGGCACGCAGCCTTGGGCATGTTCTCCGGGGGACACATTCCCCACCTCTTACTGTGGCTCAAGGGGACTAAGGGTGACCAGTGGCCTGTGTGACCCCATATCACAGAGCCCGCAGGCTCCTCCTGCGACACCCCGCAAACCCTGGGAAAGCCCTGGGCACACCTGTCAGCCAGGCTCTCCTGGGACTTCCAGCTTGGAATCCGGGACACGCCCCCAGCCTCCAGCCCAGCCTCCAGGGCGCTTCTGCAGGGACCAGGGTGACACTGCAGCCCGAGGCCCCCGCCACAGCTCTTCTGCCACCGGGTCAACCCACGGCATGTGAGGGCCCAGCAGAGGTGAATTACCCCAGAAAACGAGTAGGATGAAATTCCAGACCCTAGGAACGCGTACTTCCGAAGCATGGTTCAGAGGCAAAACCACGCCAAGTTAAGAATGCTTGAGATCAGGAAGATTCCACATCCCCCCACGAGGCAGAGCAGTGGGAGAGAGAGGATGCCAGCTGAGGGGCTCGATGTCCCAGGACCTGTGAGGGACCGTGTGCTCTCCCACAGACACCAAGCTTAGAGCCTGACAGAGGTGCTCCCCACGAAGGGCTGGGGACCCCAGCGTGGCCCACCCTGTCTGCTGAGTTCACAGTTGTGCTCAAAACAATCACAGAGATCAGACTGCCTGTCCCCGGCACACCCCCCTGCAGCGGGGCTAAAGCAGGGCAGACGTGGCAGAGGGACCTGAGCAGGCAGACAGGGACCGAGGCAGTGCCACTGGGTTCTGGGCGCCGGATGGAATGGAGGCGCAGGCACGGCCCTCCCACCTCCCCATGAGGGCGTCCAAGCAGAGCAGACGGGGCTGGAGAGGGAAGGACGCAGGGCGAGAAGCCAGAGGCCTCGGCTCTCATCCATGCCGAGAGAGAACTGTCTGGGCATCCGGTGGAACCCCACCCATGACAGACCCAGGGTGAAGGGGACCCCTTTGAAACCCCCAGCCCCTCGGCCTGCAACATCAAGGTGAAGGACCAAGGACCTCACAGGACCCCGAGGGCATATGACAGATCGAGATGGAGACTTTGCATCCGTCTCTAGAATAACTGCGACACTGCTGGGGGGTGAGATGGGAAAGTTCACGTGTTGAGGTTTCAATCATGCACTGGGGAGCACAGCTTCCTCTGATGGCTCACAAGATGACATGTCTGTTCTCCCATAAAACCCTCCTCCCGGGGAGAGCAACCCACACTCTCAAGCAGTGGGCTTTCCTCTGCCTTCCTGACCCTCACCGGTCTCACAGCCTGATACAATCCCACCCACTTGCTTTACTGCAATTTCTCCACTGTTCAGGGCTCTTCCCTGGACATAATATTCAGACCCCAAAGAGCAAATTTTGGTTTATAAAGGAGAAAGGATGGGGTGTCCTATGGCATGTCTAGAATCCTGCCTGTGTCCACTTGAGGAGAGAAAGGACATGACAGAGAGGTCTAGAAACCTATTCACATACTCCTCCAGCCTCCTGAATGCAGAGGGAACAGTAAAATAATGGGATATCTAGTCACTTCCAAGAACTCCTTAATGAGAAGCAGAGGCAGAAAGCAGGAAAGTGGCTATTTTGAAAGCACACCACAGGGCTTCACACACACTCATCTCAGATGTGTCATCTGAGAAAGGAGTAAAGTGAAAGTCCGGAGCCACATTACGAAGATCTCCATTCCTGAGTGAAAGGGGCTTTGGTTTCAGTCAATCAGTGCAAGGGTTTCTAGGAGTAAAACAAGAGAAAGGGCATGGAAAATTTATCCCCACTTCTGCAGGAACGCCATCCTCACCCAGGGACACCAGGTTCCTGTAGTTCTCCAGCATCACGTCCCGGTACAAGGCCCGCTGAGCAGGGTCCAGGCATTCCCACTCCTCCTGGGAGAACCTGATGACCACGTCCCTGAAGGTCAGCCGTCCTTGAAATGAAAACACATTCATGAAGGGGCATGAGGAGAGATCCTCACACGAAATCAGGACCGAGAGAGGTGTCGGGGGAGATGTGGGTGAAGTACATGTTCTGACAGATCCGAATAAACGGAATCTGAGTAAGTTATGTGTCTCTAGCATTAATATCTCATGCTTTTCCAAAAGAGGGTAGAATGTCCTCCAAATCTGTGCACTTCTCACTGTGGTGGACAACACATGAAACACAAATACAAATTCAGCACTGTGTGCTCTATACCTAAGTGTCAGATACTACGTTCTACATAATGTGTGATGTCCCATATGTAGATGAAGTAGGGCAGGAGACGTGGCCTCAGAGATGACAGTGTCCACAGAGGCTTTAAAGAAAAGTAGGAACCTAAACATTGTGATGATAGTAACAGCAGTGGCTTAAAGGCTTTAAGACTTCTAACGTGCTGGGTGTTAGTTACTCAATGCTTTATATGTACTAACATGTTTCCAGCATGATAGCTCATCTGAGGAAGTTCTCTGCCCATCTTATGTTACAGAGGTAAAACTGTGTCACAGACACTGTAAGGAACTGGCCTCTGGTCCAACAGCTAAGAAACAACACAGCAAGCCCCTGAACTCAGGTGATCCACCTTTAGAATTAAATGTAAAGAATCAAATAGCTAAGTAACAGAGCACTAAATACACTGAGAGAGGGTCCTCTGCCAGGAAACTTCAAACAATTCAAGGTTAACTATATGAAACTGCATAATAGCAATTTATGCATGCACACACACGCATGCACAAAGTACTTGTAAATCATTAACAGGAGAGTCTAAGAAATATGGACAAGGCCAAGGGATATGTATCTAAGATGTAATTTTGATTGTTAAAAATATAAAGCTTGTTTATGAAATGATGTCTTTTATAACAGACATCGGCTCACACATCCATGCACTTGTGCCTATACATATGAACACACAAATTAACTACCATGAGAAAAGGTGCCTCTCCCCATATTTTTGCATTTTTTCACATCATTTTTATTTCTGCATATGTCACCATCTTTGGGATAACAAGAGAATATTAATTGTACTTAATTTAGGTTCTCTATCACATTCAACAGGGGGCTAATAAAAAGGTAGAAACAGGAAAAAAAATTGACACCACTTTAACTGCAATCTCTATAAAATACCCATACACAAAAATATAATTTTAACCACGCAAATTCAAATACATAGGGATTAACCAAAGCCAAATATATTGTTCACTCCACTAGTAATGACTCAAGATTAGAAAAGTTATTAGTGTTATACAGTACATTACAGCAGATTAAGAGAAAAAACATCACAATAGCAAATACTTGAAAAAAGGATTGGATAATTGAAAAATCATGAAAAAAAGGATTATTAGAGGAAAAAAATATTATTAAACAAGAAATGCCACAAAAATTATGATCACTACAACACGAGTTACATTTATTCTGAAATGATGGTGGAGAAAAGGCTGCAGCCCAGGTCTCCTGCCATTCACCCCTGTCCAGGCAAACTACAGACGCACGAATCTCCGGACGGGGAGAGGCTCAAAAGGAAGGAGGGAGAAGATATTCCACGCAACCCGGATCCTCAGGACAACAGCTACACTATAGCAGACGAAAGGTCATAACGATAAGGAGGACAATTCCCCAGGAAGACACGGCCATTATAAAAATACCTGCACTCTGACACATAACAAGCAAACAACGAAGGAAAGGACAGAGAAACAGCATCACAGAAATAGTATGAGATTTAATACCCCAGTTTTAATATGGACAGAACCACTGAACAGAAGGTCAGTGAGGAAACAGGACTTGAACAACTCTACAGCCCGACTGGACAGTGGTGGGAGAGCCCTCCGCCGCGCAACCGCACGGCACCTTCTTTACAAGCATACGTGGTACATTCTGCATGAGACCCCATGAAAGGATACAAAACAAATCACAAATTTCAGACAACTGTAATAGTAACGTCTTCTACAACCACAGTGAAATGAAGCTAGAAACAAAGAGCAGACAGAAAACAACAAACCCGGGAAGGGCCTTTCAGGAAGGAGAGAGAGAGAAGTCACCCAAGGACGGGAATTTACCTGAGGAACAGCCATTCGGGGTGCCTTCGTCCCGCTCCTCCTCTTTTTCTGTGCTGCGGCGGCAGGGAACAGGAGTCATTCTTAGAAGCCAATCTTGAAAGTGGAAAACAGGCTGTTGAACGCTGAGACTCACTGCATCCCCTTCGCTTGCCACACCACACGGGACGGGGGGTGGGCCCCTCACCACGAGAAAGGACGGTCCCCTGCTGCCCACTGCTCAGGAGGCACTCGCGTCTCTCCCCCGTTTCTTCAGATCCCGCCCCTGCTGGGAAACCCTGACACACTCTGCAGGAGTGGGGATCCCGGCTGTCCCCACACCCCCCCTCAGGTCACAGCCCCGGCCCTGATCACTCCCCTCACCCAGACCCCGGCCCCAGCAGAGGCGGCTCAGCGCCCCGGTGCTCAGTGCTGCACGCAGGTGACGTGTACCACGGCTGGTCCCACCTCAGGTACTTGAAGGAGCAGCTCTGGTCAGGGGACACAGGACCCGTGTTTCCAACAGGCCCCAGAAATCTACTGGGAGCGTGGCGGGCACCGTTAGGAGGCAGGCCCAGCGCTCCCCCACCTCATCGCCCTGCCCTGCCCAGCCTGACCGAGGTAAACCTGGCAAATCAAAAGTGTAGACGTGTCTTAATTTGCAACAGCTACGCACTGTGACAGAACCAGCACATCACGCTAACGGACACACTCCTCACTCCCCGTTACCATCTTCTGTGCCGGTGTGGTGAGAACACTTAAGATTTCTCAGCAAACCTCAAACACACAATAATACGGTACTGTTACCTACCCGCACTAGGCCGTGTATCAGATCCCAGGACTCAGCCATTTGACGACTGCAAGTCTGTGCCCTCCACCAACACGTCCCCGTGTCCCCAGCTCCCAGCCTCTCGCACCCACACTCTACTCCCTGGTTCTATCCTGACTCTCCACATCCCACAAAGAAGCAAATCACACAGTATTTGTCCTTCCCTGTCTGGCTTATGTCATGTAGCATGAGCCCTATGGGAGGGGCACGTTTGCTGGGATGCTCTGAACGAAAAGCTGAGTAACTAGTGTTGGAGAGCGTGTGCAGAAAAGGGGACCCTTGTGTTGTTGAAAAGGGTGACGACCTATGTTGTTGAAAATGGCAGGATTTCTTTCACTTTCACGGCTGAATAATACTCCATCATGCATTCACACACTCACTGCTTTTTCTTCATCCGCTCAACTGTCCCCATTTACCTTGTTTCCCTCTCGTGGCTGTGCCTGATAACGCAGTCATGCACACGGCAGTGCAGACATCTGTCTCTTCAAGACACTGATCTTGTTTCCTTTGGACAGACACCCCAAAGTGGGACTGCTGGGTCTATGGTACTCCTCTTTTCACTTGTCTGAGGAACTTACATGCCGTTTTATGTAATGGCTGCACCAATTTCCATTCCCACACACAGTGCACAAGGGTCCCCTTTTCTGCACACGCTCTCCAACACTGGTTACTCAGCTTTTCGTTCAGAGCATCCCAGCAAACGTGCCCCTCCCATTTGCTTTCCTTGGGCCTTGTCAGGAGGATCGACAGTGGAAGGGCGAGCAGCAGACAGAAATGAGCAGAGCGGGCACAATGACGCAGGTGGGCAGAGGCTGTGGCTGGCATGGGAAATGGGAGGGGGACAGAGAAGGGTCTGTGAGGAAGTGGCATCAGAACTAAGGCCGGGGTAGGAAGGACATGCCCACCGGCTCTGAGGGGCTAGGCGGCTCTAGGCGGAGGGACAGCCCCGCGAGGGCCCTGAGGCAGCAGCCACCTTGGCCCCAGGAAAGGCCTGTGTGGCTGGAGCCGGGAGAGGACACACACAGGAGGGGATCCAGACAAAAGCAGGCCAGGAGGGACGTGTCCCCCAACCTTTCCCCCAACATCTCCAAAAAATTTTACAAATCATGCATTTCCATTTTTAGGTTAACATACAATTTTTTCTGTATCTTACACAGAAAACACTTACAAATAATGCAGCATCCTGTTTTATATACCTGCTGAGATCCTCCTCTGAGCCCCAGGCGGTTCAGGGTTGCCTGAGGACAGCGGGGGGAACACATTTAGGGGAGTTTATGATGGCAGTTTTGGGCAAAATAAGGTACAGTATTCTGTTTGACATCCTAGCAGAGTGTGGCAGACACAGTGAGAAACAGCATTCTGGATTTCAAGGGAGAGATGTGGGTTTAGCAGGGGATTTGGGAGAAATGAAGGTGGTGTGGAAGTCATCAGGTGAGAGCAAGAGACAAGGTAGGGGGTAAAGACAGAGATGTTCAAGGATTCCACCTTGGGATACTGCACATTCACAGACCAGAGAGTTCTCTAAAGTCTGTCAGGGGGATCTGAGAAGTGATCTGGGGGACGGGGGTTGAAGAAAATTAAAGTCAACAGATTTTTAAACATTAAGAAGGGCATGTCCTCAGAGACAAGAAAATCAGTCTTTCAAGGAAGCAGCTGCCATCAGCTGTGGAACCTGCTGCTGCCAGGACAAGGTGGATGAGAAGAGGAAACCAGAGGATGGACTCGGAAAAGGGGACACCAGTGACTGGAAAAAGTATCTGCACAGCAGGTGTGAAAGCTCGTCTGACGGGGATCAAGCAACAACTGTCGGCAAGATTTGAAGAGGGCTGTAGGCAAGCTAGTGCACTGTGCTCTGAAATGAAGCATACGACAAAAGGGGCTCTGAATGGAGGGGGAGTAGTTAATCGGGAATGTTTGCTTTTAAAGACAGAAGACTACAGTGCATAAAAGGCATGTGTGTATGGGGGGATCGTTTTGGTGTTTAAGACGAACATCCACCATTTGCGGATGACCAAATTAACAGCCACAGGTAGACATACACATCCAGGTTCTCACACTGCTACCAACACTTCACTCCATTTCTAGAAACTCATTCTAGATATATTTTAAAAACACAAAATTGTAAAAACATAGCTATAGATGTGCAAAATGTTTAAAGAGTCACTTGCAGACGTAAGCTCTGAACAAACGTCAAGTTCCGCTTTTTTGTTGGTTGGGTTTCTTTTTTGTTCTTTTATTTGTTTTTGTTTTTGTTGGTTTTTTTGAGCAAATCTTTTCATTAGACATAGCTGGACTCTGTTGGACAAAGCTTCCAAGTCAATCCAGGCCACCTTCAGCATTTGGAGAAAAAAGACAAGAGAGACCAGAGGGAAACAACTACTCTTAGGTCACTGCTCACTATGCTAAGAAATCACATTAAAGGGAAGAAAACTGAGTATTAGATTCGTTAAGTTAGGCTTTGACTGTTAAAAGATCACTAACATCCTTACCAGCTACCCAACGAAAACAGTCTAAAATTATTAACTGATCACCAATGAACATGACCAATACAGAAGATACAGAGGACAAAGCCTACAGGCCTCACTTAAATCAGAAACAAATTTACAGAGGAAATGATACCCAATTTTTATCAAATATAAGTCACTCTGGTATCAAAGGTAAATGTGTGGATATATCATATTTAGAAAAGAATGACATGAGTTAATTAGAGGAGGCCACC